CCCTACTTAAACAGCCTTTGTAGAACGCTTTCTACTTGTAAAGCTTTTTTAGCCCGCCCTCCCAAACCCCACTAGTGTACAGACAAGCCCTAAGCCTTGCTGCCCAGGTCCGAAACCAGTGAGAGGAGGACACGTTTTGCAACGAGCCTCACCCTTGTTTCACTAGTCTTCAGCCTTTAGCCCTGTGAGCCCTGTCAGTCGCCAACAAGGGCCAAGGAAAACGCTTTTTCCCGCAGTCTCAGCCTTAGCTGAAGCGTCGCTACGCAAGAAACTAGTAGCTAGCCTGCTTCAAGGCCAGCTAGCCTGTGCCAGCCCTCGCTTGGGCCGTGCTCTCAGGACAGCGTCTTGAAAGAGCCCTAAGCCTAACCACCTCAGGTTAGCCCACACACGCTGAGTGTGGTTCTTCACTAAGTCTCACAAAGCCTGGACTTGACGTTCAGCCCAGATCTCTCTGGTCTTTTTCACAGGGGGTGGAACGAAAGGATACCCGGGCTTGAGCCCGCAGCCTTTCAAGCCCTCCTTTTTGCTACACACTCAGAGCAACCCAAGAGAAAAGGTGCGAACCGCTTCTGCTGTTTTAGTGGCTGGCTTTGAACCTAGGAGCAGTGCAAGCCCACAGAACCGAGCGGTTGGCGGGCAACAGTGCTGTTTTGTGAAGATGAGATCTGCTCAGCTCTGAACGCTTGTGAGAGCCAAGTAAGTGAGCGAGTTTGTGTGTGAGTGTGTGCTCGACTACTGTCATTCACTCCCTCTACCTGTTCGTTGGTGTGCTGATACGACGGCTCAGGCGCGCTCCGTATTTTCACATGGTAGCGGAGCTCCTGGTTGACTGACAGACTCCAGGGGCTCCGGAAGACGAGTGAAGAGTTTCACATCAGTACACCGCAGCAGACATCTCGTGCCAACCCTTTCCAAGCTGGAGGGGTGTCGCCCTTCATGTTTGAAGAGGCAGAGGCGAATGCGGAACAGCGTGCAGAGCATCGCGCAGAGCATCGCGCAGAGCATGGGGAGGCGCAGGCAGCCGCTTCCTCGCAAGCGGATGCCAATCAAGCCAACCAAATGGCTATGATGATGCAGATGATGAGCCTGATGCAGGAGCAAAACCGACAGCAGGCTGTGTTGCTTGACGCGGTTACACGCCGTTTGGACGCCTTGGAAGTGACCAGGACAAGTCAGACGGGAGGTGCAGTACCTGCAGCGCCGCCTGGCATTGCAATGCCAGCGGTGCAGCATGGTGGGTGCCAGCCAAGCGGGGGAATTTCTTTCCCTTCAGATGGTAAGCCACCATTCGGGGTTAATCTCCCAGTGCTGACTACAAGTCGTGGCAGAGTAGGCTGCAGGAGTTGCTTGGCTACAGAACATGGTTAGAGTCCTTCCTGTCCTGGATCAACTTGATCAGTGAGAGGTATGCGAGGGAGATCCATGAGGCGATCACACACACCCATCCAATCTGGCGACATGCCCTGGATGCAGATCAGCAAGCACGTGGGCAACGCTTGCTTTCCTTTCTAAGGCAGTCATTCGCTGGCTGTGCCAAGGTTGAAAGCATCATAGCACACTATGTTGCAACAAATCGCGAGGGCGAAGCGCATGGATCTGAAGCCATCCGCCTCATCAATCGTGAGCTGTCCATACAGAGTCGGGCTGAAGCACTCGGTTTTCGGAGCTCGCTACTTTCACTGGTGGTTAAGGAAGAGCGTCTTCTAGATGCAGTGCGTTCAGTAGAAACACAGCTTCACCAGTTCGAAGTGTTGCTTCGTTCAGCTTCAGGGCCCGGAGTCACGGATGGCATGGCTCTCAATGAGGCAGACAAAGTCCTCATTCTTTTGCGCAATTTGCCACCAACAGTGCACGCATATGTGCAGCTACATGGGCGATCGTCAACATTTGAGGAACTGAAGAACTCCGTTTTGACCTACGACCTCAACGCCCGTGTCTTGGGAGACGTGAGCGTGCAGGTCAATGCGTTTTCTGCTGGGAACCAAAAAGGCGAGGAGAAGGGCAAAGGAAAGAGCAAAGGCAAAGGGAAGGAGGACTGCAGAAGTAAGCCTCTGAAGAGCCCAAGAGTTTTCATGACCCTTAGGGTGCAAGTCCAGTCTGCCTCGCCGTCAGGAGTAGCGCAGTCACGTAACGATCATGTTTCACGGTTGCCGGAGACAACGTTGGAGTCAGAATCCACTGGGGTAGAGCTTTTAGCAGACCAGTGGCTCAATGACTCAGGAGCTACTGCGCACATCGTTTCACGAAGGCATGTGTCAAGTTATCGTGTGTTGAAGGAACATCCCTCCCTTGGATGTGAACTCAAGGCTGCAAATGATGGGATCATTGCTACGTATGGCATAGTCGACATCGAAGTTAGATTTTTGACTCAAACTTCTCTCGAAGTCAGAAGCATGTCAAATCGTTTGTGCTTACGAAGTGCATCATAGCAGACATTCCGTTCAGTGTCATCTCACCATATGCTTTGAAGGGGCATGTGACGACTTTGGGAGACGAGCGGGAGTCTAAGATGTCGAAAGGGGGAGTTTTCATCAAGTTGGAGATTCGAGATCGTGCGTGGTGGGCAACTGCGCAATTGAAGAAAGGCATGGCGCCAACAGATGCTGTGCCTATGGATGAAGTACAGTACAGGCACCTGCAGCAGTCGAGTCTGGCGTCGCTGTGGTTCCTACGCCTGCCACCTCCGCAGCTCAACCAGACGGTTCCAAAGCGCAGCATGTCAATCCCAAGAGCATCTTGAAAGCTACCACGTCAACTACCGTAACGTCGCAAGAGTTTAGCTTAGGACGGTCCACCCCAAGTTCTGCTAGGTCTCTTTCCGTCAGATTGCGTGTCGAGAGTCTCTTCTGTGTGTAGCAGTAGGCATTCTGAAATGTCAGGCGCGGGCTTGTCTTTCTTTCTAAGAGCGCTGCGAGCGAGGCTGTTTCCAGCTGGAAGAGATGAGATGAGTAGTGAGGGTTGCTCGTTGAGGGTTGCTGGTTCGGAGTCCCTTGCCGCGTTTGATGCAGAAGAGGAGTCCCGTAATGGTGTTGTGACGGGTTCTGTGTCTGAGCCAAGTTCAAGCTCATCCGGACTAGGGCCTCCTACTGTAGCCGAGGATGAAGGGGATGTTCAGGGTCTTGACGCTGAGACTGGAGAGGTTGACTTAGAACTAGAGGGTGATGATCTCACGAATCACATTTCCAATGGTCATTTTCCCTTTAGTAGCGCTTGTAGGTCTTGCGTGCGAGCAAGGGGAAAGATCCCGGCCCGCAGGTTGAAGCACAGACGTGGTGCTTATGAAGTGGCTATGGATTTCGGGTTTCTGGGGATTTGCAGGTTCCTGGTTTTGATTGCCCCCTTGACGGGAATCTTGGGTGCTTTTGTCATGAGCTCAGATGAGGATGTCAACGTTCGTACTTTGAACAACTGGTTTAGGGAGTGCGGGTTGACAGGGAAGGAGCTTGACTGCGCATTAGATGGGGAAAACAAGCTGAAATCCTTAGTGCAAAGAGCTGTTCGTGCTGAGAACTCACCTGTGACTGGTGCGGTTTTTGGGAAGTCTCCGCCGGGGAGACATCAAGGTAACGGCCGGGCTGAAAGAGCGATAGAGACCGTTAAGCAAGGTGTAGGTAGCAACCTTCTTTTCCTTGAGGCTCAAATACAGGCCCGAGTAGATTACTCCAGTCCCCTCATGTCCTACTTAATTCCGTATGTGGCCCGTGTGCGCAACACACACCACGTACCACAAGGGAGCAAAAGCACCGCTATTGACCGCGTGAAAGGGCAGCCTAGCACTCCCAAACTGTCCACTTTTCCGTTCGGAAGCCTGGTGTATGCAAGGCCGGGTCCTTCATCGGCGAGAAGGGATGATGCAGGGTTAGAAAAGCTGGCTGAAGTAGTATATTGGGGTCCTGTTTCTTGTGTTGGAGGGGGTGTTCTGGGGATTCCGGGTAAGTCGGGTAGGATTGGGGTTGAGGAGTCTCTGTGGGGCAAGGTTCGGACGTATCAGAAAGCAAAGCCCACGAAACCGTGCTGTTGGAGCTTAGACGAGTTGCGCCCACTGTTAAAGCTTTCAGCTGACCGCCTCCCACCGCCAAGTCCTAGAAGTAGCGAACCCGGCGCTCCCTTGTACTCTCCTAGTAGCCCTAAAGATTTTCAAGAAGTCCGACGAACTTGTGATTCCACCGTCTGGTCCGCCCATAGCATGGGTTAAGAGGGAGGGTCCCACCCCTGGTTGCTATGCGTGCAATCAGTACTCCAGCGAGGGTATAAAATTCATGGTAAAGCCCACTCTAAAGCGTGCAAACAACGTTATAGGGAGTGGTTGGAGAACGAGCAACAGAAGAAACGTAAGGCAGAGGCACCGCCTAGCACGCCTGGGCCAGCTCCCATGGAAGTGGAGCCCCCTGTAGGTCCCCTCCCTTTTGTTCCCTCAAGTGCTGTTGTTCCACCAGTTGTTGATAGTATGCCTGTCCCAACTGCGTCTCCTCAAGTGTCAGCCGCGCCAGAAGTTGGACCTTCTGAAGGGTCAGTTCCTGAGAGTCCTGTTGAGATTGTTGCTCATGATGCCTCCGGAGATGGGGTGGAGGATATGGCCGTTGAGCCATCCAGTGACGCTATGGAGGTTGATTTGTTGAGCGACTGGGTTACCACGGACTTGTCAGACAAGCTGTTGTCCTTGGAACAGTCGACTAAAGGTGGCCCTTGGTTTGAAGACGCCGTGTGTGGAAAGACTGCGTGGCAGCAACTTCCCAGTGAGCCGGTTTGTGAGTCAACTGGAGCTGCTTTGTCCCATGAGCAGGTTGAGGGCGCTATGAGAAAGGTGTTCTCTCAGTGCGCAAAGCTTGAGGCGGGGGTGCGCATCAGTGAAAGAGAGGCTCGTGCTATAGCGCAGGAAACTGGCGCAAAAGTTCTGCCAACTAGGTGGGTTGTGGTCAAAAAGCATGATGGTCGCGTCCGTGCGAGGCTCGTAGTCAAAGATCTCAGATCCGCAGGTCTTCCTGCAGTTCGAGAAGGCCACTACAGCCCGACGTCTTCGCTTGAGAGCTTGCGTTTGCTGTTGGCCATCAGTGCTCGGTTGGGCATGTCGCTTGTTACCATTGACATTTCCACAGCGTTTTTGTGTGCAAGCTTGTGTGGTGAACGCCAGGTTGTGAAGTTACCGTCCTTTGCAAAGATGAGCAGGGAAATCCGATTTTCCTCGATTTGCTCAAGGCGCTTTACGGCTTGCGCCGTGCGCTTGTGTACTGGTACAAAGAGTTGAAGCGTGCGCTGTTGAAACTAGGCTTCGAGGCAACAGCAGACGCGGCAGTTTTTCGACGCTACTCATCGGAATTTGGTTTGGTTCTGGTAGTAGTGTACGTTGACGATTGCATGTTTGCAGGAGCGCGCGAGTTCTGTCTGCACTTCATTACTGCTCTGGCGCGTGACTATGAAGTTAAGCCTACAGGTGAGCTCAAACATGGGTGCGTTGGTTGCGTTGAGTTTTTAGGAAAAGAAGTGAAGCGTGAGGAGCCTGCCTGGAGGGTCGTTGTTGATAGGGTTGCCTGCTACGTACTGGGACGGCGTAGAAACCGCCAGCGGCTTGACGGTCAAGTCGCAAGAGAACCCTCCGGACTTGTCCAGGCACGTTGACAGTGAGACGCCTGAGTTGGACACGGTTGGCGCTGAAAAATACAGGACAGTTCTTGGCAAGCTTGCTTGGTACAGCTTGACGCTTCCGCCGTTGCAGTACTACGTTAGTTGGTTGAGTTGCTACCAGCAGAGGCCCGCTGAGGCATCTTGGACTGCGATGCGTGTAGTGCTGCGGTGTGCCAAGGGTTTTTGCAAGGTACCTTTCAGGCCATCACGTCGGGAACGCAATGGCAAGGTGATGAGCAACAAGTCCATTGCATTACTGATGCATCTTGGGCCGTTCGGAGTGTTGCTGGCGGCGTTGTGTTGTGGAGGGACACGATGGTCAAAAGCTGGAGCAGGCGCGTCGCAACGCCGTGCTTGAGCTCTGCTGAGGCCGAGCTGTTTGGGATCGTGGAGTGTCTCAAAGAGTGCTTGTTCGTTGCGATTTGCATCCAAACTTTCCTGGAAGGCCTTCCTCCTCAGGAAGCTTGGCAGGAATCAGGTGTCATGAAGCTTGTGGTATGGACGGACTCCGAGTCCGCAAACAACATAAGCATGACGCAAGGCTTGTTGCGACGTGTTCCTCATCTTGAGCTACGTGTGATGTTAGTGCAGCGCCATACTGACAGCGGAAGGCTGGTAGTCAATTACGTTCCGGGGGCAGTCAACCCAACAGACTGCCTAACAAAGCCTTCTGACAGAAAGCACGCCCAGATGCTGTCCGAGCTTTCAGGCTTGCAGCTGCCAACTGCCATGAGGTCCTTGTTTGCCAGCGCCGCTGCTGTTCTGGAGAGCTTTCAGCCGATGTCAGCTCAAAACCGCCGCCGTGTGACGGAAGGCTTGCGCAGAGCATTGAGTTTGTCTATTGGTGCTTCAGCCTTGTCCGGCCATTCGTCGTTCTTGAGCTCGGGAATTTGCGTGTTTTCCAATGTTTTTCGGCTTATCGCGTTGCTGTTTTCCAGATATGCTCTTTTGAAAGTGCTTCTTCGGTCAGTGTGGAGCCGGCTGAAAGACGAAGCCCGAGAGCAGGTACAGAGCCCCGTGAGGTAGCCCTTTTTCAGAATGGCGCTTGTGGTGCCTGTTGCTTTGTACGCATGGGCCATTCGGACAAGCGGGGGTGTGAAGAATGAAGCCTCTTTGAGTGTCCTCTGGCCCACCGTAATACCTGTAGATTTGTGTATATAGTTTTTCCGCCAATCCAGG